CCGCGCGGGACACGGCGCCGCCGGTTCGAGTCCCCGCCCCGCTGAAACCGCGAGTTCGAGTCCCGGCCCCGCTGAAACCCCGAGTTCGAGTCCCGGCCCCGCTGAAACCCCGAGTTCGAGCCCCGGTCCTGGCAGGACGGAGTGTGCCAAGGAGTGTCTGGCTCCTGGGATCCCTGACAATGGAATGGGCAGGATGGAAGGAGCAGCCGTACAGGTCGCTCCTCGGGTAAAGGCACAAAGAGGAATTAGGAATTAGTCCCAATTAAGACTGCCAGTGTCCAGGCCAGAGTGTGGCGGTTTCCTCAGAAAAAGACAAAATGAATGTTTGGGGTTTTTTTTGCTCCGTGAGCAATGTGTATTTTATAGGAAAGACTGACAAAGGCAGTATTTCCTGGCACCAAGCCTTCCCTTTGTCCAAAAGCTGGCACTAGTGCCCACTGTTGGGGAGAAGCACAAAAGGTCCATTTGCTATTCACTGCAAAGCATCTGTACCACCCCATCAAATTGATACCAACCCATCAAAGGACCAGAATTTTAACTCCCAATTCCCTGCAGGCGTCTGAGCACTGCACATGTAAATGGCAGAGTCCATTCTGGACAAGAAGCAGGGATTCAGTGTGTTACCTTCACAGCTTTAAGCTCAGACTGCTGGCAATGAACACACTCCTATGAGAATAATAAACACCAGGACTGGTCCTGGACTGTCCCACGATCATTTGTTCTGTGCCTCACAAAAAAACAAGCAGGATTCGGGTTTTCACCATCACTTCTTTATTCTGGAAAAAAGCATATAAATCCAATCTAAATAAATACCCATCCCCTTCCTTAAGCACACTTAAATGATCCTGCCTATAGAAAACAGGTTTATACATTAAAACTTTAAAAAAAATAAATCTTTCAAGGCAAAGCTGAGCCAGCTGGTCCCACATCCAGGGGTCAGTTCTTGGCCGTCCGGAGCTTCCTGCGGAAGTAGTCGGGCGCGGCCTCGTGCAGCCACTCCGCGTCCACCACGCACAGGTCGCGCATGTAGCACTTGTTGGTGCGCAGCAGCCCGTTGTACACCACACAGGCCGGCCTGCACTGGAACAGCACCGAGGAGGGGTGGATGGCCACCACCTGCTGCGAGTCCACGGTGCCGTAGGAGCCGTCGGGCCGCAGCTCGGCCGCGTTCATGAACAGGCTGTGGGCCAGGCAGCGCCGGACGCTCGCGGTGTCCCCGCGGGAGGACTCGAGCGGCATCGACAGCTGGGAGAGATGGGAGTGAGCAAGAATGACCTGAAGCCCTGTTTCACTGGGCTCTCTTCAGAAATCCTGGGGGATTTCCTGTGTCAGAATGCTGGGGGATCACTGGGAATTCAGCTCGAGCGGATGCTGGCCTCACCCAGAGCCAACAAAATGGATCATCACTCTCCTGCTGGAAGTGAGCTTAAGGCCAACCAGCACTCACAAATGATAGCCCAGAGGGGGCTCCCATGTCACCACAGACTGCCAGGGGTTCAGTGGCAGCTCCCACGCTGTGTCCAGCAGGAACAGCGCTGAGGGGAAACTGCAGCCACACCAAATGCCTGACTCCATGAAGAAGCCAGCCAGCACGGGCTGCCGAGGCTGACAGCACTCCGTGGCACACACAGCAGAGTCCCACCTGCATCAGAGCAGGAAAAACCCTTAGGAAAACCTGTTTTCTCCCTGAGAAGTCTGCTCAGAGGTTCCCAATTCTCCTTGACCCACTAAGTCCTGTGGCTTTAAGATTTTGGGATGCAGCTGCACAGTCAGGAATTTTAGCCAGCTATTTACAGGAGACTGTAAACAACCCCATGTTTTCTCACTCCTGGGACTTGGTGCACAGTAACATCAGTTTGGGGATAAACAGGAAAATACCAACATGTGAAACAGAGAAATAGAATATGGAAGGAAGTTACCTTTACACAAATGTCCCTGAGCTGAGCTCTGACTTCTGCCATCAGCTTCATGTTCCTGCCATTAATAAAGTTCTCTCTGCACCATCCCTGCAGCAGAGACACCAGGAGTTAGAAGAGGCTATTTCTTCACCCCAGGAGCATGACAGCCTTTGGATACCATGAAAAGCAGAATCCCCCCTACAATCTGCCTCAGAGAAAAGGTGCTGACCCTTTTCCTGCCCGTATTTCTACTCCCCTTTACTCCCCTCTGTCTAGATTCCCCTCCCACAGTGCTCAAAACCAGCATGTGGTGGTTCTTTCCCCACTCAGAGCTTCTCTGCAAGGCCACCAAGAGCTGCAGAACAGCACTTGCTATCCCACAGGTGGTGAAAACAAATCAGGTAAGAATGACAGGTGCTGCAAGGAATGGGGTGCATGAGTCCACAGATGCACAAATCAATGAGAGGCGTTGATAGAGTAGGATAAATCCAAATCTCCTTTTAAATATGCTCAGTGTTTTTCCAATGAATCCTGTCACAGAGCATATCCAGATATTTATCATCAAGTCTTAACACACTGCCTTCTGTTTCCAGCTGGAACCAGGGATGGAAGAGCCCTGGCTGTGATTACAGAACAGGTCCCACAAAGCTTTGCCAGAGCTTTCTGTAGGAACCTTTGTAGGAACTTTCCTCTGATTCCTCAGATGTAAAGGATGAGCCCTCTTTTCTCTCTGCTTTGGAGGATGCAGGAGTCGCTCTGCTCTGTGCCAAAAACTCCTCACCCCATGAGCTCAGACAGCACTGGCAGCCTCAGACCATCTCACCTTGTGCCCGCTGACGTTCTTGTAGGCCCTGTACACGTTGAGCAGGGTCAGATGATCGCCCTCACTGGAGATGAATTTCCTCCTGACAGCCTGCACCTCATCCCGCTGGGCAGGGGGGTTGTGGAGGACACTGTCCACTGATAACAGTGACACGATGGTCAGGATCTCCTCTGCACAGTGGAACTTGGGGGACAGGAGGATGGCCTGCACAGACACAACAAAACTCATTTTTGGTCGACCAAACCCACTTCAACCAGGCAGATCTTTCTGTTCCCTGGCAGACCAAACATTGCTTGGGACAATCTCATAAACATCTGGGCCTAGTAACAGCTGTAAATCCTCCAGTGGGCTCACCAAGCACCTTTAACAGCAACTGCCAGGCTCCCTCCTGAGACTTACCAGTGCCTAATCAGTACAAACACAGAGACTAACTACAGCAACAGACATTTCATGGACCTGCTAAACAATCCTGAACATTGTAAGCAAATTTGCCTTGCTCACCTTCAGAGGTTCCAGAGGAAAAGAATTATCTTTTAAAAATCTTTCCTGAATTTAACAACAAATGACAAGCAATCCAGCAAAAGGGCTGTAAATTCTGTACATTAATGTACAGCAAATATACCAGTACAGCTGCTAACACCCCAAATTTCACACCTTGTTTAAGGAGTTTGAAACAGAAACAGCAATGGTACAGAGGTGAATATATGAGATTGAAAATGTTTATTTTTCTGCAGTTTTTACCTTGGAGAATTTTGGATCCAGTGGAAAGGCTGCCATTTTCCTTCCCAGGGGGGTCAGGACAAGCTGACCTTCCTTTTGGGTCACAGCCCCCAGCAGGTCCAGCTGATCAATTGCTGCTTGAATAGCATCTGCCAAAACAAGGACACTGGGCTGTGAGGCCTCCTGCCTCCCACTGAGGGATGTAAAGGATCAGCTGGCTCCATCACTGCCTCCCTCCCCTGGCCAGAGGGACAAGCACTTTCCATTTAGAGAAATCAGGGTCCCAAAATGTGGTTTATCCTCCTCTATCCAGAAGAATGAGCACTTCTCCCCCATTTACTCTGGCTTCCTTTGGCAGTCAGGGCACACCTTCACACTGTGTTGTTATGACTCAAGACTGCTCCCTGCTCTTTTTCCCCATGGCTGCTTTTGTAGCCACTTACCAGGAGATGGTTTGGACATGAAGTCAAAGGTGAGCACATTGGGAATTTTCAGGGCTAGGAGCTGAAGCACCACACTGGCCAGGTTACACCTGCACAGGCAGAAAAAACAACTGAGATAGTTCCTTTATTTTATTCTTTTTTTACAGAAGCTGAGACAGAGTCTCAGGCCTGTGCTGCAGCTTGACAGAGACTAGTCTGATGCTGCTGCTCAAGCCTTACTTCCTCAACCAGGAAGAGGCAAGTCCAAGATCTGGAGGACAGTCAGGAGAGCTATTGCCTCATGTGTTTGGAGACTCAGTGCAACTGTCCACCCTGAGCAAACCTCTCACAGTTTTTCTGTTTAGTCCCCACACTTCCATTTTTCTCAAGTCATCCCATCAGCCCCCAGATCCAGTTTTGCTGCTCAGTTCTTCCCACAGCTCCAGCTGTAAAAGAGGTGTGGCAAGGAGTGTGATGGTTCTGTCCCCACCTCTGTATCTCAGGTGTTGTCATTTCATCAAACTTCTCAAAGTCCTCCTCTGTGTAGAGCCGGTAGCAGATGCCGCTCTCCTGTCTCCCTGCTCTCCCTGTGCGCTGCCAAGCCTGGGCCTTGGACACCTGCTGCACTGCCAGCACTTCCAGCCCAGTTTCTGGGAATGGAAAAGCATCACCTCAGTCAGTGCCTGTGCAAGGCACAGCTTTGGAAAACACAGAGGATTAACAGTGAGAATTCCCAGGGTTTAACATTCAAATACAGCTCAGTGCTCACTTGGTTCAGCACCATGAAACACAATGAACTATCCCATGCTGTGTCCATGAAGAGAAGATTCACATTTGACAGATTTTTACCCCCCTCATGGCTGATACTCAAAAAACCCCACAAAAACACCACCAAACCCCACACCCCAACCTGAGACATTAATTTAAACAGCACGGAGGGTGTCTGAAATCCTCTTTCAGTGGGGCTTATGGCCTCCAGTAACTTCTACAAACCCAAACTCAATCTTGGCCCTGTTCCTCAGAATTCCTCACCAGGGCTGTACTTCTTGGCTTTGACCATGCCTGTGTCCACAACGAATTTTATCCCCGCAATGGTGATGGAGGTTTCTGCGATGTTGGTGGAGAGGATCACTTTGCGACAGCCCTGGGAGGAAGGACAGATCAAAGTAAGGCTACCTCAGAGCAGCTGCAACACAGAAATTCTGCTGCTTTGGGCCAGTGTGGGCCAAGCCCTGCCCCACATTGTGAGCACAAACTGTGTTTGCTGTGCCAGCTCTCAGAATTTAAGGTAATCTCCAGTTTCTAATCAGCTTCTAAAACATGTGCCTGCATTTGCAGCAAAATACACCACCACAACAGCTGTTCTCAATGTATCTTTCAACAGTTTTGGTTTCATTTCTGGCACAACATTTGTGTTCTTATTTATCTGCTGAGTAAGTACAAAAGAGCCTGAGGAAGCACAAATTCCTTTTATTATGGCCCTGACAACCATTCTCAGGTTTCTCAGTACTTCCCCCATTAGCTGCTGCAGCTTTTTTGTGATATGGACAAAAAATCCCAATGAAATGGGGGAAATTTAAATTCCTGTGCCCTTTTCACTCCCTCTAATCCCTCCTTCTTTTTGTGCTCCCATGTGACTTACTGGATGCATCAGTTCAAACCATCACAGGTTGCAGTGTCTTTTATCACACTGGAACCACTCAGCCTAAAGCAAATGGAGACTATTGCTTACTACCAGTACAGACTGATTTAGCCCCTGAACGTCCAAGTGTTTCTTCCCAAGACTCATGGAAGCAAACAGGTAACAGGTATTGTTCACCCATCCTCACCTCTGGGGTAGGTTTAAAGGCACGGAGTTGTTGGCAATGGGGCAGAGAAGCATAAAGGGGCAGCACTGTCATCCGTGGGCAGCCCTCGGGGAGATGCTGGGCAACATCTCGACAGGTTTTGGTCATTGCTTCAATTTCTTCCTGACCAGTCAGGAACACCAGGATGTCCTGGCACGCAGGGGCTTCCTGGAGGCAGAGGAAAAAGCAAGTTAGGAAGGTTTGGATAGAAAAGGAGAACTGAAGTGGCTAACTGAGTGTTAAAAGGATGGAGGAATTGCTGTGTCCTCAAATAACTGTCCAGGCCAGGCAGAGGGAGCCAGCAAGCAGCCAGGTACAGAGAACTCAGGTGAGAGGAACATTCAGGTTTTAGGCATGAGCTGACATTGCAGAGCTTTGCTCAGCAGTATCCCTTCAGCTCCAGCCTGGACATACAGGTCCCAAATCCCAACAGCAGCAGCAACTTCAAAGCACTAAATGCAGTTTAAAGAACCAACACAACAATCCAAGTGTTTGGCAGTCAAACAGCCCAGCACAGAACGCCAACCCCTGGCCCCAGAGGGACACAAACCTGAAGAGAGCCTCATACCTGGTGGATCTGGAAGATGGACACCAGTGCTGCCTGCAGGTAGTCACTCTGCTGCTCCTTGGTGTAAAAGATCTCAATGGGATGCTGCCGGCCTTCCAGATAGATGACAGGAGCTCCATTGAAATACTGGGAGAACTGGTCAACATCCATCGTGGCTGACATGACAATCACCTTCAGGGGGAGCACAGGATGGGTCAGCACTGCAGCTGGACACCACCGAGTCAGGACCAGCCAAAAGTCACCTTCTGGATCCTGAGAACCACGCTCAGAACAGCTCACAGGCTTTGGGACAGAAGACAGTGACTTTCCCCTTGTTAAAGCCATCAGCTTTTTAACACAAGCAGAAAATGCTGTGACAGAAGGAGCTGGTGTGTGGAACAAGACCACGCAAGGCCCCTGCCAGGCCCCTCCAGCAAAGCCAATGTGCTTTCACACAAATTCCTGACACGTCCACCCATCCCACGTGTAGTGCCCTACCTGGGAATGAGCATGTCCCAGAGCTGTGCCATCAGCCAGAGCTCCTGCACCTGGAGTGCCAACACCTGAGCAGGGCCAAAACCTCCCCAGCATTCTGTCTAGTCTAGAGCTCACACCCAAGGGACTTTTGTGGAAAAAAGCTATCATGGCAGTGACCAGATATCTTGTTCAGAGGTGTTATATCAGGCCCACACATTGTAAATCAAACACCCTTAACTATTCAGATTTAAAGTGAGTTTTTAGGAACAGAAAAATGGTCAAGGCTGAAATTCCAAACACTTTGGAAGGCCCCAGGAGTGCTCAGAGCACTCAGAGCCCAGCCCCACCCTGCCCTTCGCTGCCATCCCAGATGAACACACTTTCAGGGGCCGCAGGCCTCGTTCCTTTCGCTTCTTTTGCGCAGCTTTGACCACTCCAAAGAGCACATCAGTGTGGATGGTCCTCTCGTGGGCCTCGTCCAGGATGACCACACTGTACTTGTGCAGCAGAGGGTCCCCGATGGCCTCTCGGAGCAGCATTCCGTCCGTCAGGAACCGGATCCTGGTCTCGGCGCACGAACAATCATCGAAGCGCACGGTGTAGCCAACCTGGGGAAGGGATCACACATGGATTACAGGCACAAAGACTGGCATTTCTCATCCTGCCTCAAGGAAGGGCTACAAAGCTCCTGGTCACTGCACTGGACAGAGCCAACCAGAAGCCTGTGGAAGCTCTGGAAAGCAGAGCAATTTATCTGCTGTGAGCAGTTCTTCTTCCAAATCTAGCAAATGATACTCCCAACATCTCTAGTCTTCTAGATGTTCATCTAACTAGATGTTCTCTAGTTAGGCTTCTTCCTAACTAAAAGTTCATCACAAATGCCCCCCAAGTCTCCCTCCCTCTCACAGCTAGAAAAGATTCCACACTCTCCAAGGATTTTATGCAGGGGAAGTCTTTCTCCTCTGCTTTTCTCCCCCAGACCTGCACAAATTCAGGATTCTGCTCTCCTTGACAGTGATTTCTGGTACAGGGAGCACAATAGTTTTTGTTTTATTCATGAATCAGTATTTTTTCAAATGGAACAACAAAGATAATTATCAAGAAGTACAATACCACAGAGACACACCATGCCCACCCTGTCATGGGGCAGGTAAAGAGACATTTTACTCCATTCATTTAATTACAGAATCATAGAATATCCTGAGCTGGAAGGGATCATCTAGTCCAGCTCCTGGCCCTGTATAGACACCCCAACAATCCCAGTCTGGGCATCCCTGGGAGCGCTGTCCAAACACTCCTGGAGCTCTGGCAGCCTCAGGGCCGTGCCCATTCCCTGGGGAGCCTGGGCAGTGCCAGCACCTCTGGGGGAAGAACCTTTCCCTGATCTCCAGCCTAGACCTCTCCTGACACAGCTCCAGCTGTTCCCTCAGGTCCTGTCCCTGGTCACAGAGAGCAGAAATTGGAGCTGCTCCTCGGGAGGAAGCTGCAGACCTTGTTGACCAATTTGACCAAATTCTCCACTTCTCCAGCTGAACAGACCAAATGATCTCAGCCCCTCCTGACCCTTCATCATCTTCATATCGCTCCTTTGAGCACTCTCATACAGCTTTTACATCCTTGTTATATTGTGGCACCCAAAACTAATTATAAAATTAATAATTAAATTAAAGAATGATTATCCTACCCATTGAAGCCTTCCAGGGCCCCATCCCCAGTGCAGAGTTAAGCTGTACATCAACCTACCAGCCTCCCCAGCTCCGTCCTCTTCTCCTCGGCGACTCTGGCAGCCAGGGTGACAGCTGCCACCCTGCGGGGCTGGGTCACAGCGATGATGCCAGGGTGGCCAATCCCCACTTCATACAGGTACTGAGGGAGCTGAGTGGTCTTCCCTGAGCCTGTTTCTCCTAAGGAATATCAAGGGAATAGGGTTTCCAACCCCGCACTTTTATAGCATTGTCAAACTCGGTTTTTTATGTTAACGTTTAGCCCTGTTTGAGGATGGGGAAGCTGAAGATGGGGAGAGTCCCACCACAAAGGGGTGGCAGGGCAGAGACACCACCCCAATGCTCTCCTCTTGCTGATGGGTTGCTCCTCTGCAGAGCTCTCTCCACCCAGATGCTCTCCAGTCACATTCTGGTTTAGAAATGTACTCAAGCCTCTCTGGAGGTGAAGTGTCTGTGGTGTGACACTGATAGGAATGACATACAAAGCGTTTTTCATTTAGTTACAACAAATGCTGAGTCTTTAGACTACAAGGTGGGAAGTTATATATCTTTAGCTCCTGAAAGTCTGACAAAAAGATTTTTAGTTCGTACTCACAGAAAGCATAATAAAATCAGTGGAAAACCCCTGAAAATGTAAGTAAGTGAGGAGAGTCTTCAGAAGAAGATAGTTTTGCCATCTGGCTTTGACTGAACTCCAGGCAGACAGCGAAAGGAGAGGGAAATACTTTTGCCTTCTCCATAAAAACGAAGTCCCCCGCTGCCAAAGCACAAGTCATTATACCCCTTGTTCATCACACTTCAGATTTACACCCAAACCGTTTCTGAGCAGCTTTTCCCAGCCCAGGCCACTCCATGGGACACCGCCCTGCCCGGCACTCACCGATGAGCACGGCGGTGTCGAGGCGGCGGAGCCGGGCCAGCAGCGGGCCGCGGGCTCCGGAGATGGGCAGGGAGCGGCGCTGCACGTGTGCGGGAGGCATGGCGCTCTGGGGCTGCGTGCCGGGGGCCGCTG